GTCTGAATGGCTATTATTAAAAAGAAAAATAACAGATGTCAGTAAGAATGCAGAGAAAAGGAAAATCAAACACTGTTGGTGGGAAAATAAATTAGCATAACCTCTATGGAAAATCGAATGGCAATTTCCCAAAAAACTAAAAACAGGATTATCCTCTGACCCAGCAATCCAGCTGCTGGGTATCTACATATCAGGAGTCCTGTGCTTACATGCTTGTTAGAGCACTGTCACAGTCGCAAAGATATGGACCACCTTATGGTCCATCAGTGGATGAATAAAGAAAATGTGATACATATACACAACGAAATATTATCCTGCCATTAGTACACGCCAAGTGTCTTGTGTATCCCATAAATGTGCGCAAATATAAATAAATAAATAGCACAGCCAGATCAATATAACCAGAAACCCAGGGAAAAGGACTAGCCAGCCCTCTTCCATCTCAGAAAAGGTGGCCAGCCCCAAGAGAAGGGAGGGAAACGCAAGATTCAAGAACACAATTCTGCTGCACACCAAACAGACTTGGTCAGAAAGGTCTGGTAACACAAAGGGTGAGAAGGAACGTGGGTTAGTTAACAGGGCTGTGGAAGACTGCTTCAGGGCTGTGGCCAGTTCAGACCCTACATGGAGGGGTCGCTCTGCTTTGGGGCCTGCAAGGTGTCAGCTGCCCTCATGCGCTGAGGTCTATCCACAACCTGAGTGACCTCTGTGAGGCTCTACTCCCACTACCACAAGCCCACAATTTCTACCTCTGACTCCTCCCTGCTTGGTTTGATCCCTTGCTCCCTCCATTGATCTTTGACCTTAGAGGGATTTAGCAAATGTGCATACCAGCAGTTGGTTCTCTTTGGCCACAGACAGTAGCACTAGTAATGACATTAGAAGCAACCAAGCTGATGGCCATTTGTATAAGCAAGATTAATCGAGTCCCTACCGGACAGTTGAACATGCTCAAATAATGGTGACTCTCCATGGCCTCCTATCAGATTAAAGTGGCCGCTCAAATCAACAGAGCTTTTGTTTTATCCACGTCAGACTAGCTAAAAAGACATCAGCTGGGAAGGAAATCATGTGTTTAATTGCATGCTAAAATTATGGCCACAATTAGTTGCAAATTTCAGCCTCTGCACTCCTCAGGGAGGCTGAAGGCAGGCTCAGGAGGAAAGGAATTATTTCCGACCTTAAATTTCTGTTGCCAGGATATACATCACAGGCTTCACCTTGTTTATCACTATAAGTAGCAAGAAATTTATTTTCTCTTCCTGTTTTTCTTCAGTTAAGAACAGAACCATTATCTGAATTTCCATGTGCACAGAAAACAAATCCAAAGACATGTTTTAAGGGGCCTTAAAATGGTGACATGTTTTCTAGTCCAGACCAAAGGGTAAATTTTTCTAAGAAAAATTATATTGGCCAGGAAAAATAAATACTTTTTTTTAAATAAGACAAAAATATGTCTATAAAACTACATCTGGCTTCCTACAGTGACACAATCAAGTTGTTCTTAAATATTAAGTCTCAGGGTTCTTCCTACCCAGAGCCGTAGGACAAGCACATGTCAAACATGTTCATACCACTCGTCTGGGGCTAGAAAACTCCCAGGGGAGCCTAACCTGCCATGCACTGGGGTCCAGCAGAACTGACTGGGCCTCCAGAAGGCCTTACCACAGGGTTCCCAGCTTACCTGCAAAGGCTAATGTCCAAACCCCTTTGGACAATTCCTTACTGAGTTTCACCATATGCAAAAGATGGCCATGCCACCTCGCCATGCACCAGTCTGCTCTGAGACAGTCACCAAGGCCGCACGTGAGTTGTTATGGAACCTAGCATGGCGAGTGTGCAGGAAAACTTAGTCACTATTACTGTCCATGGTAGTAATATATGGGCAAAATGAGGGGACAGGACAGAAACCTATACAAAACCATGAAACATGGGGAGAACATGGCCTAAGTGACTGGCTGAGGATAATATTTGCTTATCAGCAAATGGCTGCATTCCCCACCCTTCTAGCCTTTCTCAGAGTATGAGGGCCAGGCCCAGGTAGGCAGAGGCAGAAGCCCTGTCCAATTCCATCCCACGTTTAGAGTCATGAAGGGCAAGCCTGGGATTCTTGTAGCATTTCCCAGCTCCTAGGTCCCCTTATCAGGGTATTCTGCTTGGTTCTGCAGCTCCATTCAAGGCAGAAACACCTCTGGGCAACAGGGAACTCAGGGACTTTATGGCAAGAGGTACTTGGGGACTATAGTCGCCATGGCCCAGGATGGAAAATGCCTAATGACAGCAGAGTGACGGCACCTGTCCCTAAGGGAGCCACCTTCAATTCCAAGCTAAAGAAACAAAAGTAGAATGCTTCAAAGTAAAACAAACACTAGGACTGTATATGTCTAGGACAAAATTCAGCCTTTAGCTGGGAGGTTAAATTCCAGACTGAGTCCAAATTTTGAGGTCATAGATTCTTCAAGGTAAGCCCTTCTTACATAACATGGAACTTCAAG